ACCTATTTCCTCCCAGTTTTCCTGACAGTTTTGTCACAGTTTTCCTCCCTTTTTCCTCCCCGTTTTCCTGCCTCTTTCCTGCCAGGTTTCCTGCCTATTATCTGCTTGTTTCCTCCCAATTTTCCTACCTGTTTACTGCCTATTTCCTGCTTGTTTTTCCGCCTGTTTCCTCCTAGTTTTCCTGACAGTTTCCTCACAGTTTTCCTGCCTTTTCTCTACCTCTTTCCCCTCTCTTTCCTGCCAAATTTTCCTGCCTCTTTCCTGCCTATTTCCTGCCTGTTTCCTGCCCGTTTCCTGCCTGTTTCCTGCCCATTTCCTGCCCGTTTCCCTCTGTTTGGAGCTGTCACTCTTGGCACAGCCCCCAGGAGCTCTGAGCAGCTTCCCAGGGTCCCCATTTCCCCCTGGCACCTCCCAACCCAGGACAAGGCAGGAGCAGGGAGCTGTTCCCATGCCCTGGCACCCAGCAGAGCCACATCCACACGTCCCTGGCCCTGGGGTTTCACCAGCTGCATTTTTGTGTTTTCTGCCCCATTTTCCCAGTTTGCTCTCCCTGCCCTCTCCATGCCCACAGGGATTTCTCACTGAAATGCCCATGCCAGGTGGGGAGTGCCAGGGACAATGAGGTGACAGAGCAGTGCCAGCAGAGGTGACAGCTCCAGGAGTGCCCCCTGCCTGATGCCACCTCAGCACAAGGAGTTTCCAATCCCTGCTGGGAGTAATTTTTACAACTATTCCCCATCCTGAGTCACTTCCCTGCCCCTTCTGCCCTGCCCCAGGACAAGGTGAGCTCTCAGGGCAGCCCAGCAGCACTGCAGGAATTCTTGCAGGAATTCCAGGCCTCTTCCAGGTGTTTCCATCCCAATGCACAGATGGAGAGTTTATTCAAGCCCCTGCAGCCACAGTTGGTGACTCCTGGCTCAGCCTCAGCCCCTGCTCCTCCTCCCCCATACATATTTATGAGCCCAATTATCACTGAACAAGCAGGTTGCTGTGCAAATAAATGATTTTTAATCTAAATTACCCAGTTTACACACTCCCCCCAGCTCTGCTTAGCAGAACAGCTGGTGTTTACCAACTCCTCATTACTGAGCCAGGCAACAGCAGGAGATGCTGCCCAGAGAGGAGCAGCCACCTCTGAGATAAGCTGAGCTCAGGGTTTATCTCTGCCTCAGCCTCGCTGCTCCTCCACGCCAGGTCTCTCATCCAGCCCAGTTTGCACCAGTGTGCCACGAAGGAATGATGTAAAAATGTCTGCTGATAACAGCTGTTATTGTTGGGTGCTGTATTTCTGCAGGAACGAGTCATTTCCACGAAAATCCAAATAAACCCAGCTCTCTGTCCGTATCTGCATTTCCATTTATCAGCATTTCCGTTCTCCCCATTCCACGGGAGGCTCACAGCAGAGCTCAGATGATGCAAGAATTATTCCTGTCGTGGTATTTCCACTGTCCAAGAACGAACATATGGGAGAGAAATCCAGCCCCTGGTCACTCCAGGCCTTAAATGGCCCCCTGAGGCATCAAACAAACAGGAGATCACAGTGCCAGCACTGGGAGTGCTGGAAGGCCAAACTGGGGAAGGACTGGGGCACCAAATCCAAGGCAGGGATGTCCCAGCACCCTCTGGAAGCTCTGGGAGGAAGGTGCTGCTCCGAGCAGCTCGTGCTGCTGCACGTGGCTCCCTCTAGGCCTATTTCCAGCCTGTCTGGCTGCAGGGAGGAAGGAAAACTCCTGGCCTGGGCATGGAGCAGGCAGTCACATGTGGCTGGGGCAGGAGTCACGAGCCACGGCCCCGCTGGTGTCACAGGAGATTTGATCCATCCCTTCCCTTTCCCCTATTTCCGCCGTGTCGGGGCAGGACGCTGTGGTCGATGCTTTCTGCAGGATAATTCTGTGTTCCCACATTCATTCTCTTCCTTCCAGAGCCTTCTCCTGGAGCAGCAGCACAGCCCTGGGCAGGCTCCTGCAGTGTCCCACGGAATGCCCCAGAAATGAGGGACAACATCCCCATCCTGGGCAGGCTGGAGGAGGACAGGAGCTGCAGAAGCTGAGCCACCACTGGTGACCTCCTCTGGCACAACCTCCCAAACTTCTCTACCCACAAAACTGGGGGCTGGAGGGATGGAATATCCTCATCTTTCCTTGGGCACCAACCCAGGACTCGGTGCACATGAACAACAGCTTTAAATTTCGTTGTATTGTAAATTTTAATTAGCCCTGGCCGCCCTGAGCTCTCATCCCACTCATCACTGCATGTGGGAGCAGGCAGGCAGGTGAGGGACAGGGAAAATGATATTTTACAGGATGCTCTCAAGGAGGAAGACTTTTTCCCACCTCAAATTTGTTTTGCTGTGATTTAAGGAGGACACATTTGGTTCCGAAGCAGCTCCAGAGTCTCTGTTTGACTCCTGGAGCTCAGCTGAGTCAGGCCAGTTCAGACACTGAGCTTGAGAGTTTAAATAAACCCCTCAGGGCTTCCAGAGCCATCCCAGCTCCTCTCCACACCCTGATTTCCACCTGTCCATCTTCCTCCTGGCACAAAGGTGTGACACCCTGCTTTTCCCCACGTGTGAAAACATCCAGAGGATGCTGAGGGGTTGGAATGGTCCAAAAGAAAAAGGAGAACTGACCAAAAACCTCCAGAAAACATCTTGCCCTGGCACGGTGAGCCCCAAGCAGCTGCACTGAGGTCAGGCAGCCCATCAGTGGGGTGGGCAGGGAGGTTTGGGGAGCCCTGAG